AAGGCACTCTGTGTGTGCTATCTGGTAAAAGAGTATGGTTCCTCCTTAGCCAGCAAAATTTGATCAAAATTGCTTCTGATCACTGTTTCTTACTTTCCTCTTTATCTGGTATGTATAAACTAATAGTAACTGCATTAACTTTATTAACAGACCTATGCTCATTTACATATTTACCGAACCCAGCCATCAGTCCTCACTTTGTAGTTCTTTTACATAGCAAAAATTGCATTCAGGCAGGACTGGTCACAACTGTGTACAGAAATATAACTGTTACATAAAGATGGGGAGCTCTTTATATGCTCCTACTGTTTACACAACCAGCACACATACTGAAGTGGCCCATTAGATCAGGGAGTCTGACTACTGCCAAACCAGCAACTAATCCCCAGACAACTTGTTTAATAGACACAGTGAGAGATAAGTGATCAAAACTGTCCATTATAGTCAAGGAAACTTCATTTACACTTGTGGTCCTACATGTATTTAAAAGTAGCAGAGACAATGATCTAAAGCACTTGTGTTTTAGTTCTTCTGACTAATGTAATAAAACAAAATCAAAGCAGATCAAATTGCTTGACTTTCAAAAGTCAGATTAGATACAGCATTTAAAATAACTTCACAGTAGTACTCTCTGAAGCTCCACTGGTCTTTTAAAATTCACGTCAATTGTAGTTCATAAAAATTCCCCCAAAGGAATGATAACTTACTCCCGTGGTTTAGTGCTCACAAGAACCCGCAGGGGCTTTCTACTGTTTAAACATGCTTTCAGGAAGCAATCCACTTCACTGAAGGGTCGCAGAAAAACCAGGTCACCGTTAATAGCAAAGATTTTTTTCCCGGCTTCCAAGCCTGCCATCTAGAAAAAAATGACAGTTGTGTATACATTTGCTTTTTATAACCACTAACAACATGTTTCCTGCTGCTGGCATGCAACCCCAACAGGAATAATGACATGCACACTGCTTTTACATTCTTTATGACTCCTTCATATATCAAGCACAAAAGACTTAAACCATAAAACACTTCTAGAACTGGTTAAATTGACCTGAAAGGTACATTAAACACTCATTCTGAAGAGACCCGAATATAAGACTTAGTCTTAATCAAGATTTTATGACAGTATTAAAATATGAGTTAATATTTGGAATAACTAATACAACAGCTTTCCTTGAGCCAATTTACTTTTTTATGATGCTACTTAATTTGTCCATTCATCATTCTCCAAAGGAATTAAAGCTTCTTTACATAAAGACCTGATTAATGTTCCAGTAAGTGAAAATATATTAAGTTCCAAAACAAAACAAAAAAAAAAAAATATCCTTAAACATTGCTTACGGGTTCTAAACTCGGGTCTAACAGAAAAGGAACTGAACTAGTTGGATTCCAGGAGTATACACTGCGGCTCAGGGCACAGGCTAAACCTTAGCACCATCCGAGATCATGGCAGAACCTGACTGCTAGAAATCACTCTATACAGCGCTGTGGCTGTATTATATTATTGATTTGCTGTAATTTTTTTTTACATTAAATTTCTATGCAACCATGAGATTTAGAAAGGCTTGAAATCTAGGTCCAAATTATTTATCTCATGGAAGAGATTCATTCTTTATCTTTTTACATGTACAGAAACTCCCATGCAGTTCAGTAGAATATGAAATTACTCTAAAAGCATCTAAAGTAATACCAACAAACAGAAAGGCTGTAATTTTTTCATTCAGATTCTCAAATTCTAGACCTCATCCAAAGCTTGATACATCCTTTATTATGAAATATATGTAGTGCAACTCACAGACTAGCTCTATACTCAGTTTACATTCTACCAAAAATGTTTATTCCACTCGTGATCAATGTCATCACTGGAAAATTACAAAATGTATAAAAATAAAATGATCACTTTTATATCCCCATTCAATATGACAATTTACCTGAGCACAAAGCGAGTGTTGATAATGGTCAGAGCAGTATTTTAAACAAAACCAGAGAAAAAAAAGGGAAAAAAAAAGATTCATAACCACAGTTTTCTTGGAAAGTTGTCACTGTTACCTTCTACTACCATAGATTTCCCCACTGATGTACAAAGCTTACACATGCAACCATGTGAATAAAATACAGAAGATAATTTATAATACTTGATACCTCAGCATTTGATCCTTTCTCCACCACTTTAATAATTGGCACCTTATTTTTATCTTCTAAACCAAAACCATAAGTGCCTTCATTAGATTTAATCTGAAAAATAAAATTGTTCAAAATATTGTTCAGAGAGGCATTAAGAACAGCTAAAGGACATCCCCATTAAATAACTATACACGGTGCTAATTTATTGTCACTACAACCAATTTCTTCACTCATCAAAGCATACAATCCTTGGGTTTCACTCACCAGTAATGACTTGGCTATGACATTTTCTACTACTTTCAGATCATGTTTCATGAGTCTGTGCTTCATATTTGACCCTTCCATTTCTTCATCCGCATAAAACCGAAACAGCAGTGGCTCATCTTTAAATTCGCTTTTCTCTAACACTGTATGACACAAAAACACACGTATTGATGCCTTTCTTAAACCATAAAATACTGAACATGCACACAAATATTAAATGCCAGCAAACTATTGCTGTGTGTGAATCTAGGGAAATCTTAATTTTTAACATAAGCAACGAGTTTTATTTGGATCCATTACAGATCGGTGTCATTAAGTTCATTTTCAACTCCAACATCTGGATTTCACCAAGCTGGGGAAGACATATTAGCTTGCAATGTTTTTAGTGAAAATGCCAAGAACAAATTTTCTTCCTACAAAGGATTTAAAAACATGGGTTTGAAAAGTTCTGGTGGACAGCTGTTGGAGGTGCTCACCACCACATTCTAGCACTCTCCACGTGGTGAAGGATGCCAGGTCCAGTATTAGAAATGGGTTTGGTGGGGATGTGGAAGCAACTAGAACAGCAGGTGGATGCAGTTTGTATTTTTAAAAGTGCAAGGAAAAAGAATGAACAGTGCCAGAGAGGAAGTTAATTCTCCCTCCTTCTCTAAACAAGCTGATAAGAAAATAATTTCTTCCTCTTTTCATTTCAGTAAATGACCTACTGCTTCAATCCTTTCACTAAAATCTTCCCTCTGATGGTATTAAATTTGACCTTGTTCACCTCATTTTTTGTTCCACATGTATCTCTCTGCTCTCCTCTCCCTTCTTTGTTCGCTGGTGTCCTTATGATTTTCTCATTTTTCTACACTCCACTTTCTCCTATTGTCACCACTTCAATTTTTTTTTTAAGGTCATACTCCTCCATTCATTCCAAAAAAAAACCATCTCCTTTCTTTTCTATGTGTTTCCCAATTTTTTTATCATCTCATCTGTGCAAACATGTATTACCTGCATAAGAAACTTCCTTCAAAGTGGCTAATAAAACTGACACACACGCCCCGCATATTCTTTAGAGGATGAATTCCTCAGTATGTGCTATAAAATTGACTGAAAATCATTTTCAGAGTATACAATAACTTTTTTTTTTTCATTGAAGATTGCAGCATAGGTCTCTTCAGCAATACAATGAAAGAACTTCTTATCCCTTCTGTAATATCTTTACCAGCCCTTGCATTTCCTTTCAACTATGTAGGTAGCATTAAATAAAAGGTAAGCATAGCTTGTACAGAAAGTATTTACTTACCATGGTGCATAAACCCATTATCACAAAGAGCTACACCAAATATCATAGCTTCCTCCCTCGTCCGGCAATCCCCCTGTTAAACCATAGCACATGTTTGTTTAATTTACTTTAATGTAGCAGCAAAACACACAATGGCATAAACTCACAGGACTGGCAATAGTCGTAGATGATATTTACCCCTACCACCTTTATATATACATTTATATCACACATATTAAACACTATATACATGCTTATCATAAAACCATAGAATAGTTTGGGTTGGAAGGGACCTTTATATGGTATATGTCTTTACAGTTACAAATGAAGATGCAAACATTTTAGTAACACTGCATTCCCCATAAAAATTTAATATAATAGAATGTAAAAGTGTCAAAATTTTTAACTTTTATGTTATAAAACTGGTGTATGTTGACTGAGTGAACAGGATACCCTGTTCCTGTTCCTAGTTTGCTTCAAACAAAACAGAACTAATGACTGCAAGTTGGTAGTGACTTCCATCCATCTAGTTAGTAATTTAGAGTTTTCAGAGGCTATCCATTTCATTTTAAGCCATGAACAGTGTTACAAAGCTAAGCCTCATTAAAACATTTAAAGTTAAATTGCACATAAGAAAGATAAGCACAAAAGGAATAAACAGCATGTCTGCATACAGCTGATTTCAGTTACTTTACCAGTTTAAGAGGATTACATTTACATGTGCTTTTCTAATAACTCTTACACAAAGCGCTTGCATGTTATTCTGCTCAATACATCGCTATCTTTCAACTTAGAATTTAAATGCAAAACATAAATAAATCCAAAGGTGTATACTTGCCTGTGCAATCAACCAGTCTATGAGTTTGTTAGCCATGACCACAGATTTGTAGGTTCTCAAGTGATAATCTTTATCCCTGTTCAACACAACATGATTTAAAAAAAAAAAATCAAACAAAAACTCAAAAGACCCTAAAATACTTGTATTTTAAAAACAAGTTAGTGCAAGCATGAACTTGAGCATTTTGTAATGGTTCGGAAGCTGCCTCTGGAGTAAAAGTGCAAGTCAAACCTTTTAGAGTAGATAGAAAGGAGGCGGCTTACTTGTCTTACTTGGTAAATAATGTCCCTGGAGTATAAAGGCACCTGGGACTATCCAAATGAGGTAATGGAGTGTTAGTAAATATACAGTAAGTATATAAGTATATCCATTGGGACCTAGAAGGTTCTAAAACTGCAAAAAAAGGTCATATTGAATGGAGTCGGTAGTCATTTAACGATTCAGTTATGCCTTTTGTCTTTATAGCCCTTCAGTCTTGTCTGATTATTCCCAAGAGACCAATCTTCAAAGGATGGGTTAGGTTCCTGCATTCAAACACAGTCTCTTCAGATTAGATACTTCTTCCAATTGACTCTCTACGGATTTCCCAATTTGACTCACCTGATTACTGGGGTAAACAGACTGTGAAGGCGACAATACAGTCGTACACCCTGTTAAAGAGAAAGATGAAGTTGCTTAGCCACATGTTCACACAACGGAGAACATAAAGGAACGGACACAGTAAGGAAGCCTGCATGTTCTAAATGCACTTCATTTATACAGTAAAAAACTCTGTTCAAATCTCTATATATTTTCACGTGCCAAAAAGTAGTATTTCCAGACAAAAATACTGATGAATAAATTATGAAAACATTTCCAACCTAATCTAAGCTTTACCGAGACACATGCAAAAAGGCTTAGCTTTAAGGTAGCATTAAAAAATTCTGAAGGTATAGTAATTTGAAAGAAACGTACACAAAACCTGAAAGATAAAGCAATGTTTCCATGTATTAACGTTTTTGCAATCACTGGTTGCTATTCTACACACTGTGACTAGGGTAAAACCCACTACATTTGATTATATGCATTAATAATTAACTTACAAATTCAAATTATAAATAACCAATAGACTTAAAAACTGCAAAAAGGTTCCATGGTTTGAATTTTTTTTCAATTAAAAAACATTTGTAGGAGTTTAAGAAACTACCATTGGAAAACTGTGTTTTAAAATAGAAATTAACTTAGTATTACTTAGCAGACTATCAAAAAAAATTAAGTTTATAACATGCAAGAACAACCATGTATAACAATTAAAGTTATGTCAAATTAGATTCCATCCTACTTTGCTATGCCTTGTAGTTCAGTATTGAAGATTCTTTTAGATATACCTTGCATTAAAAAATACTAGCAGAAAAGTAAATAACACTATAATGTAATACCCCAAAGCTGACATTTTCTACCACCTTAAAGTCTTGAAAATTTGAATATTTATGAATTTAAAGGCAACTTTCTTCAGTCATTTTAGGATTCTGTGCTTATGCCCAGTAGTGTGGATGGACAGCACTACCTGTCTCTGTTTAAACATGACTGCAGATTTACTGCCTCGTTAAGGCACTAACAAAAGACACTCAGATTTAAGAGAAAATTAAAACCAATTTTCCACATATAGCTTTATATCTATTAAAATGGACTGAAAAATACAATAGCCTGAAACGCCACCTGCACCCAGAAACATGGCTTATGAAAACATTAAATAATAAAACCAACAAACCTAACAAACTTTAATTTTGCATTTAAAATGCGTAACAGCAAGCCAAAATCTTCCCTTACAAACAGAAAACCAAACTGGATTCACATAAAAATAGAGACAGGCAAGTGTGAGGAGATGTTGTTTATGCCAGCATAATATTTTACATTATTTTTCAAGCAGAACCTCCATTTCTGATGTGTTCTTCCTAATAATAGCAAGTATTCTAACCTGTACCTTAGATATCACATCCTGCATCTCATTTCTGGGGTAGTACGTTCCATCATCGTATCGGAATCTGTACAGCATGTGTTCAGGTTTGAACTGGTGCTTATCTGTAACTAAAAAAAA